TTTTCAATAATGCCAGGAAGGCCTCCTGCTCTCTTTTCATCCATCCCACTGAACTTTCGACAATTTGTTTTCTAAATTGTGTCTGGGTCTTCTTGTTCAATTGCAACAGTTTCTTTTTTGCATTGGTGACTTTGCGAATTACCTTGCATAAGATGTATGGTTTCACATAATTGTTGGCAAAATCTGCAACCAAAGTGGTAGAGGCTTTCTGTCATTCATCAGGAATTTCCTTGTCTTCTGCCACCGAAATGTCTAGGTTATCCATAATGCTTTGAGCAAAAGCGATATCGTTCATCAAGGATAGCACTGCAAAGCATAGGTCTATGAGGACTAAGTTCCCACAATCTGAAGGGAGTTCGAATGGCATGGCATCAAGTAGCATTTTTGCGCTTCCTCCACTAATGCCTTGGGTGTCAGCTATTACTAAGGCCCCGAACAGGGTGGCCTCTAAAGGGTTGTCATCAAGCCCAAAGCTGCTCTCAGAATCCAATGCTTCCTCTTCACTCGTGACTGCTAAAGCAGCCATGATGAGTTAATATTGGTTTAATCAAATAAAATCAGGAGGAGAGTTAAGCAAGAAGCTCGCTTAACAATATACTGCAATGGGGGCTCCCTCAGGTAGATGGTTCCTAACGATGTAACCGCACCAAACTTTGAATCTCTCAAACACAGCTCTTGCAAAGTGTAAAGAATAAAAGTAAAATAGTAAAACTTATTATCATTAAGCTGTAGCTTATCACAATTAAACTCTCTCAAGAGGAGGTTGATTAGGTTGGGGTAGGAGGGTGCTCTTATATTCTTTAAGTAGTTAGACTTATACCAAAAAACTTCCCCATCAGATTACCCAAACCAACATGAGTATGCCCTTCTCCGTAAGGGTTGCCTGGTACCATGACCATAACCCTGAAGGGCCTAAGGTGTCAGCACACTCTAGCAGAAATCTCCTATATGCACATCAGTTTCTGCGAGGTGTTTACCAATACACCTGCCACAGTGAAAACTGCTGCGCAACAGTGTCTTGTCAGTGGCTAAATGTCGGGACACCTAGGAAAGCTAACTAAATGACTCTTTTCCCATTTGTCATAACCTATGCAAGCACCCATAGACATCAGCTGTCTTCTGGTTATATTCTATCTATCTTGATTGTGAACTTGAAACCTCTATGACACTCGCGTAGAGAGCTGTGGCGGCGGTGGGACCCATCAGCGCTACCCATACTGCCTTACCCCTAGCACACCACTTACCATGATAAGTATCATGCTAATAGAGTCCTTAAACAACCCACCAAGAGTCTATGGCAAAGGAGCATATGTTGGCTTGATTGGTGTAAAACCTTCCCAGATGTCTTAGGCACTACCCAGGACTACTCTGGGGATCCTTCCACATAGCTCACACTAACTCCCTCAGTTTTGGTCCATTTTACTCGGTTGCTTTTGGAGAGGTTACCTGACCTTCTCACCTTGGCCCCTTATATATCTTGCAAACAGCCTCCAGCCAGATGGATGGCAGTGACGTATACATTGTTATGCACCTGTCTTCATAGACTCTAGTTAACTAGTAAGACAGCAACTTCACCCGTTTTGTCCCATGATGCCCGGGGTAAATTCCTAGGCCCCAGGTACCTCCCAGGAATAGTTATGCCAAGTAACAGCATATTCGGAGCACTCTAGCTCCTCCCGTAGTCTTCCAATCAGTGTGCAACCTAGTGTCTATTGATCATCATTGCATAACAAACAATCCTAATATTTCCCAAAATTCCTCTAAAAACATTTCTGACAGAAGGTAGGGTAATGGTGTCCCAAAGGTAGTATAAGTATGTCTATAGTGACATGAAACCAGCCTCCATAGTAGAGTAACGTGACTCTCCTAGACAGGGTAAACTCATCCAGCCTTCCAACCTTTGCTTAGGCTGGAAGCGACATGGTCCCATTACTTCTCCTACTTTGGTACACCTATTCCTACAGTACCTTCTGTTCTTTGAGATACCCCGACCACTGGATACCCCTCCAACATGCACTAGCATGCCTGCCTAGTCTACCAGGTAACCTCTTGGTCTTATGTAGGGGCGTAGACTTAGGTTGCCATAGCTCTATAATGTAGGGTTGTTACAACAAAGGAGGTAGAAAACACTTGGAGGACTGAGAAATTGGAGGGTGTCCTTCGGCATAGAAAGATCTTAAAGGGCAACAAAAGAAAAATTCTGAACTAAAATAAAGAAAGAAAACAACGTATGAAATACATGAACGCTGCTAAGGCAATTATGTTAAATACAGTAAAAGCTTGCTACAGTAGCAGCCAAATAAAAAAACAAGCAGGGTGAAGTATCTTACAAGGAGGGCACAGGTTGTAACTCCTTAACCAATGAGGTTGTAAAAGTTGTCAGTCTCATCTGCCCAATTGGCTTGGGCAGCAGGGAAAAGCAATCTTTGAGGCAGTGGGGCTGCCAGAGGTGTATGTGACAGAGCAACCTGGGTGGACGCATCAGGGGGTTCACCAAAGTTCCTTAGAAAATGTTGGAATATTGTCCCCCGCATACCTATTTCGTTTCACTATACTGTTTAGTTGTTTGATCTTTTTTCTCCTTGCAGTTGAAAAATTCTTTTATGTTTCGGGGAAGAAAATTTTCTTCCCCCCTTGCCGGAAGTGAAAATTTTCATCCACACAGGCACGGCAAAGGAGGAGGAAAGTATGATGATAAAGGCAATGGTTAGCTGGTTTGAAATAATCAAGAAGTGTGTGAAGCATAATCTTCGTGCAAGTGATTTACTCAATTCTCATTGATCTCTTTGTCTACTACTCGAAACACATGTTCTTCTTGTTCTATTCTACCTAATTTTTCTTCAGAAAAGGAGCCTGGGCCGAGGGTGGCAGAAAGAGATCAAATGCTTGTCACCTATGTACAGTAGTCTGGGGAGAGAGAGGACGAGCAATACGGGATGGGATGTGCAAAAGGGAGAGATGAGCTATGAAGAGATCCTGCATCAGGGAGAACCTAATCCCAGTTTGGATGAGCAACTTCATGGAATTCTACCCTGAGCAGGCAAGAGGAGGAGTAGGCAGTGTAGGTACCCTGGTCATGGTAGTTGGCACAACAAGCAGGAGTTGTTAGGTAGCAGTCAACCTCTGGCCTAAGATTGCTCTGACTGGGGCAGGTAGAGCTGTTACAGTAATGAGGGGACTAGGAGTAGGCCTAGGTGTAGAGTGGACAAGTAGGGGAGGGCTGCTTGCATAGCAGTTTAGACTAGACAACCTGATAGCAGTTATAGCACTGTGTATCACAAGAGGCAGGCTGAGCAGAGTGAACATTACAGGACTGATTAAAGAAGCAGATGCAATCACCAAAGAGGGAAATTTTAGAGGGTGAGACAGCTACCACCATTGAGGTGGTCAGCTTGGTTGTGTGGAGAGCCAGACCAGGTTGGACTAAGTAGGCTTTAAAAATAGTAGCTCTGACAGCATACCTGATAGACTCCTGAAGCTTGTTGAAAAAATCTGTAGGATCTCCCAGGAGCATTGAGACTGGGAGGTTGTGGATAAGATCAGTATGGATTGGGGCCGTCCTAAATTCCAAGTAGTGATTGTTCCCAATGGGGAAGGACTAGTTCAGCTTCATCATATGAGCTGAGAATATAAAGAGTTGGTAGAAGCCGGGGTGTGTAAGTCAGTAGTAAGCGTGATAGTCGTGTTTTGGTTAACTGTGGCAGCTAATGAGACGGGCTAAGCACACTTAGTCTCTGTAAAAACTGAGGCCATGGCATTGGGAAGGGAAGTAGTCATATGTATGGGGTCATCATAGGGGGCAGGGGTCAGACATGGGATATAATAGTGATGATGGGTAGCTGGAAGCAGTGGCTGGGCCTGTAGGTTTACCTCCTTGCTTGCCATTGTGACTTGGGCAGCCGTTACATGTTTTAGTGCTCTCCTTTCTGACTTGGCCACCTGGGCCCTATTGTTCTAGAAGGTAGAGGGGTGAGAGACTATGTACCCAAGTGGAGAACCTGGGAGAAAGTTCTTATCAACAGTGAGTGGGAACCCAGGCTTTATTATGGATGACTCTGAAGTGTCTGGAAAGGAGGCATAGTAGACTATAGCCTCATGTGAGTTTTCATGTGCTTTCGTATAGGCCTCAGAGTTACTATACCACTTGCTATCTACCTGGTTGGGAAAGTCAGCAGAGGGGACTATACAAGAAGAAGCGTGGGACCAGACAAGCCTTCTAGGTACTAGTAGGGTAGGCTTAGAAGCTGGCCGGGTAGGAGCCAGGGCAGAAGCCAGCAGAGGGCAAGAGGCGAGCAAGGTTACCTGGGATAAAAGATCATGAAGAGAGGCTGTAAGTACTGGGTCAAAGTCCTGCGTATGCACGGAAACCAGAAGGCCATTAACCTTAGTAGAGACAGAGGAGACGGACTCAGTTTGATGGCCTACTATAGTAATAAGGGCCAATAAAAGGGGGATGATCACCTCTTGGGTATTGTTATACTCCTCAAAGTTGGGAGGAAAAACTGAGGAGAAGATGTCAGAGTTCCAGCCTAGACCATGAGTGGCCTGGGAGAGGAGAGCCTTGATAGCAGTTTCTTATGAAGAAGGAGGAGGAGCAGAGGTGCAGCCAGTAGGGTGGGACCTATGGCTAGCACTGCTAGGGGTAATACGCTGGGGCCCCACAGAGGGTGCTCTGGGTGCAGGACTTGAAGCAGATATCGTATAACACAAAATGTGTTAGTGCTGAGAGAAGCTCAGTAGAACGGGAAGTGAAGCTTAGGATGCAAAGGCCTTGAAGCCTAAGCGAGGTAGGAAGAAGGCTTTGTGTAATGATCATGGTGGGGAGAATGCAGAGTTTTCACCTGCCCAAATAGGAAGAGTTTTCTTTCAGGAGGTGAATAGGGGGCGGGGAGGATGTTAGTTAGGGCCTGTATTGGATGTCACATATTGTAGAGATTCTTGGCGGTTGCAATGCAAAATTGGATTTTATTTATTGGCCACTCAATAAAAGCCTGTAAACGTCTGATCTCCTGTTCACCGTTTGGTAATCCATGGATTACCAATCTCACAAATCCCAATCTCTGGAAATCGAAACAGGCCCTTATTATAAGTGCTCGAATAAACGGACCACGTGCCGGGAGGTTGGACTTGCCTCCCGGTACGGGTCTAGTGTTTTCCTCTCCTTTTTATTTGTCTCGAAGAGTAGACTTTTTGGTGCGTTTCTCGCCCATTTGATAGAGGAGTCTTGACTACATAGCGCGTGGTCCATTTATTCGAGTTTTTATGGCAAACAAAGGATGTCCGGAGGGTATTCCTGGCATGGGGTGGACCATTGACTGTGACTGCTAAACCCCGGTAAGTAACCTACGCATGGTGCTGTCTGTTCTTGGAATAGGCATTATGTATTCTGCCTCCGATCCTCGTCCCTCCCTATATTTTTTTAACACGTACAGCGGTGATTTCGTCGCCCCAAAAATAACAAAAATTGACAGGATTTATCAGAGGGCAAGAACTATCGAAGAATTGTGCTACATGCGCAAGGTGTACACTCAGAGAGAACTTTTAAAGGCAAACCAAGATTATACCCCCGGCGAAAAAGAAAAAAGGAAAGAAAAAGAAAAGACAAAAAAAAAAGATGAAGACAACTAAAAAATAATCCGAAAAAAAGCTAAAATCCCCACACAAGACCCCTTCCATAACTATTGGTCGTATCTGGCAACGTGGGTAGAGATGGCTCTTCCACTGGGATCAGTGGCCTTGGACCACTTTGGGGTCCAACGCATAACGGTTGGGGCACATTGGGCAGGGAACTGCTCGTCAAACATGCATCTGTACCAGTACCCCTCCTTGCTATCAGGCACATCGTCTCCCCATTCGGGCTTGGGACTCTTCATTTGCTCGTCTGAGACCATCTTTTCGGCGGTGTCCTTTAGAGAGAGATTAGTGGCTAGTATTATGTGCGTGAGTAGGGGTTTAATTACCTTGAGTGCGTCAATCCATCCGTAGCCAACACCATCGCTGAATTGCTCCTTCTGACGCCAGAGAATGTTGTCGGGAAGGTAAGGCTTGGTATCTGGCTCGTTGCTAGTATCAAAGGCCTTTCTCAGGATGAATTTCTCAATGCGCTCCTTGGTGATAAGCTTCTCGGCGGGATCCACATTGAGAGAAACTTCAAGGAACTATTACCTGTTAGACAGAGCCCCCGAGCAAAGAGTAGGCCATATGGGGGATACCTGTTTATCCAAAAAGGGAACACGAGCCTCAACCCCCCAGGCGGCAGTAGATTTGTTCGCCCGGAGGCAATCAGAGAGATGAAGGTGCTTGACTCTTCGGACAGTCTCGTCGTGGAACTCGTCCTTGCTAGGGGCATTGACGAAATACAGATAACCACCAAAGATCTCGTCAGAACCCTCACCGCTAAGAACCATTTTCACACCCAACGCTTTGATCTTCCTGCTCAGCAGATACATAGGGGTTGAGGCGCGAATGGTGGTCACATCATAGCTCTCAAGATGGTAAATGACATCTCTAAGGGCATCAAGACCCTCCTGCAGGGTAAAGTTGAACTCGTGGTGGACAGTCCCAAGGAACTTCGCGACTCTCTTTGCTGCAATTGTATCGGGGGAGCCAGGGAGGCCAATGGAGAACGAATGCAATTCCGGCAAGGCTGTAACGGTGGAATCGTCTTCATCATCAATTCCAACCAGTTCATGGGGGATAGCCGAGCCATTGATGACTCCAGCCTTAGCTTTAGCCTTAGCCGTTTCACGTGCAGCGATAGAGGCGATGAGACTGGAATCAAGACCACCAGAGAGAAGGACACCATAGGGAACCTCGGCCATCAAACGCTTTCTAACGGACTTCTCAAGCGTGGTCCTGATAAGCTTGTAATCGACCGGGGTGGACGGAACCATCTTGGGGTCCCACCATGTAGGCTCGAAATACCTGGTCGTCTTCTTGGTGACGGAGTCATAAATGTGACCGGGGGGGAACGAGACAATCTTGTCGCAAACTGGGTGAAGGCATTTAAGTTCCGAGGCGAAGTAAACGGCGCCGGGAGTTTTGGAGGACCACCCCTGGTAGAAGCTGGTAATTCCGATGGGATCACGAGCTGCGATGGTGCGATCGTTCTTTGCATCGTAGAGGACGAAAGAGAACATTCCATCGAGAAGCTTGGGTGTGTTGATCCCATGGTTAGGGTACTATGAGACCTTGTTAGACGCCTGTCCCACAACCGAACTCGGCCGGAATCCCATACCAGGTGCAAGATAACCTCACAGTCGGAATGTGTCCTGAATGTCACTTCAGGCTTGAGCTGCTTGCGCAAGATCCTATGGTTGTAAATTTCGCCGTTGACAGCTAAGAATATGGTACCATCGTCGCTAACCAAAGGCTGGGCTCCGCTGTCTAGTTTACTTTAGTAGGCCATTCAAAGAAATCAGGAATAAAGCGGGGGCACAAACCAATTCCGACAATGCTCAAACGCTCATGAGTAAGGACTGGTGATGTTAGATAAACTTGTGATTGCCCTGGGAACAACTTGAATCTACATACTCGTGTTGTTGGAAATAATGTTCCCACCTAAATAGGAATATCCAGTTAGAAAATTCCCCCCAGAGCAACAGAATGGGGAGAGAAGGGGGGCTCACTCCAATCCGGGCCGCGATGGCGGACACTGTCAAACACCGTTAGCTATCTATTGGGGGATCGAATGGAGCCAGAGGGGTTGGTTGGAGAAGCCTACGCCTTAGCCAATTGCAAAGCCTGGGGCTTGAACTTGTGAACTTCGGGATGTTTATGGCAAGCGAATATACCTGTGTCTAACCGTGAGCGGAGGAGAGAAGAAAAAAAGGTGGTTCGTGATAGGAGGAGGGATGAAGGAGGGGCTACCTACCACACATGATTGAAGTTGGTGCTAGGGGGCCTTGTAGGGGAGAGAGAGGGGAAGCGAAGGGGGGAAAAGCGAGGGATTTGTAGTAGAGCGAGAACTGGGGAAAGGGTGGTGGTGGTGGTGTTGGAGGGAAATGTTTGTTGGTGCTTGGGAGTGCATCGAGGTGGGAGGAAAGTTGAAGGTGGGGGAGGGGGTTGGAAGCACGAGAAGCTAGCTTCAAAAGGGAGTTAGAGATTCTTAGGATAAGAGATACCTGTAATGAAGGACCCTTGCCCTTGCCCTGGGTCATGTGAGCTAAAGTATGGAATAATATCACATAATTCTTTTTTTCCGCCAAACTGGTTGAGGCTGCGGCGGGTTCCGGTGGAGCCGAGCCCTGGTCCCATCGCTTGAACTGGGTTCAATACCGTAATCAGTCCGCCATCCATCGTTCTTGCAGTTCGAGTTGCATCTCCCTGCAGCTAAAAAAGAAAATAACAACCCCATACTCGAGTACCGTGCTGTAGTACAAGCATCATCACCGCATTACCGGTATGGTACTCGAGTAGAAGTGAAAAAAAAGAGAGAAAATAAAAGAAAAGAAAGAAAGAATGCATAGAATGCGGGCGATATCATGGAACAATTCAGGATACCGTAAATCTTCTCTCCACGCATGTTGGCAACCACGACTTTTTATTTCTTTTTCTCCTCCTTACATCTCTTGAATCGGGGGGAACTTGTCACATTTCGTCGCTTGGTCACCACTTGGACTGGCTGAAAAGCTTCTTACCATTTAGGATAACAAATGTGAAAAGCAACCTACCAAGAAAAAGAAAATGTGAAAGGAGAGAAAAAAAAAAGAAGGGGAAGTTGAAGCATGAACAGCACCTTCGGTTACCGTACTTTGGATGAGCATCCTGTGCTGTCCCGGTGGACTACGGTGTTCCCGAGGGAGTTCAGAAATCTCGACAGAGCTGTCACACTCAAGTACCGTACTCTTTCCGATAACTGAAGCTCGTGATGTGACCACCGGTGCTCGAGTAGACTACCGTAAGCTTGGAGCCCCCCACATTAGCCCAAGTACTCATAATATAACATTGTCAAAAGATGGGAATTGAAAATCGAGTAATATTTCCTCAATCCTTTGTAACCGTTATTACAGCAACCTTATCCCGCTAACCGTAAGGAATTCGAGAGAGAGTTGTTCGATGTCTTTCTCCGCAGCCATCCTCGTGCTCCGCTTCCGTGTCCGCGGAACAGTGGGAATTATGGAGTGCACGACCCTTGACAAATTCTCAACGCAATACCGGTATTGGGGGTTCCGGGGCTCTCCCCTTAGCCTTACCTTCTAGTCTATCGCCCCCTCCTTTTGGCATGGGGCCGATGACATCTATCTGTGCTCCAGTACCGTAGTAACAAGCCCTTCAAATTTGAGCGTCAAAACCATCCCGTTCTTGGGACTGATCTGCAGCCTTCGACGGGGGCACGGCGGAGGCCGGCGGGTGGCGGACGTGGATCAGTGATAAGTATTTCCCGTTACCCTACTTTAACGAATTCTCTTTCCTATCCTACCTACCAACTGGTCTACCCTCGTTTGTCGCCCACCGGTTCTCGTTGTGCCCCCGTCGATGACGGTAATTGCCATTAGGTACGATGCCTTGTCAAGCTCACTGTGGGGGGGCTCCAGGAGATCGTGATGCCTCACATCTTTAATCCCGCCCCCCCCCTTTTTTTTTTCTTTCCATAAGATGTGGCCAATCTCTCATCATAACTTCTCCCCATATTACGGCACCAACTTTCGACGAGGACTGGGCATGTATTGCGTGTATTGCATTGAAAACCGCAAGAAATACCTATCAAGCCAAAGAAAAAAAAATTGAGTGAATGAAAGGCGTATAACATCATATCACCTAACTTTTTTTTTCAGTGAAAAAAGAAAAACGAAACTCCATTGAGCCTACCAATACAAGCAAATTAGATTTTCAATCTCCTTACCCGTGCCCTACGTTCAACTTTTCTCTCTCCCACGTTCCAGAGAACCTCCTGGCCCCTGGAGGCGTAAAGAAACAAAGAGGCAGCCACCGATGAGAAGCCCTTAACTCCTCAACAGCGATCCAGAACAGCTTCATCAAAAGACTCCCTCCTCCGCCTTCCCAGCTATCATCAGTACTCCCGATTACCGCTTCTTGGCAGGAGGCCTTGGCTTAGCTTCGTCTTCTTTGATCGGGTGAAGCATGACTTTGATAGGATATTGAGGATTGTTCGCCTGATGCCCTTTGCTCCAATCATAACTGATTGCATAAGCAAATATCGATCCGTTTCTGTTAAAAGCGGTCGCTGGAATAGACCAGTTGACGGAAGGGAATCCCTTGAGACGATGTTTCGCGTCTTTGTCCCTATATATTTGATTAGCTTCATTATTTGAAGATGAAAAAAAAAAAACTGCGTGGCAAGCGACATACCAAAAATGGAATGTACCATCCGAACCGGCAGTGGAAAATGTTCCAAAGGTGGGATGAAAGGATATAGCGTTGACACTATAAACATTTGCGACACCAGTGGAGGGGGTCTCACGGTGACATTTAAAGGAAAAGTTCATACTATAGAACAGGTTAGCAACACGATCAAAACCACAACTATACTTCAAACTCACCTTGCATTCTTGTCATCGACATATTGAATCGCACATCTTCCCTCGATGCTACCCACAGCAAACCCAGAGGCATCCGGGAAGCAACTCACCACCCTAGTTTGCCACTTTAGTGGACTTTGGATGGTCTTGAAGATTGTGGTAGGATTGGCAAGATTGATAACATTGATATATCGTTCCGCAGTCCCAGTTACAAGCAAGCCTTGAGAAACATCCAGTGTATACACACGATCTTGAATCTGGACAGTGGCCGCCGGCTGTTGTTGTCGGAGATCCCAATACTTGAGCGTCTTGTCCCAAGAGCCCGTCACAAGCATTTCACCGGCGTTCGGGGCCTGAAACATCCGTACGCAGCTGACAGGTTCATCATGAGCTGCTACTTGTGTGGCCTGGCCGGATTGAAGGTCAAACATGCGAGCGGCTTTGTCAGCACCACCAGAGACAACTTTGGTGCCATCCTGAACATCATCAGTACAAACGATAGGAGGGCGCGCCCGGAGCTCAAACCGGAGAGATAGATTAGCCAACCTTGGACCAGTGAACCGATAGTACCGGGGCCTGATGATCATATAAAGCTTTCCCGATGGATTGTCCCGTTTCTGATATCTCGTATATCCGCACCTTGCTATCCCAGGAAGAAACCGCCAAATACTCGGATTGAGAAGAGAAGGAGAGATCAGACACACTGTCCTCGGGCGGAGAAGTGACCTCCACATCTTTACTGAGGTCGCCTTGCGTGTTATTGGTAGAAGCGGTTGTGGAGGCAGTGTTACTCGCGAAGAGCGCCGACATCTTAGCGAGTATGTAGTGGCGGTAGCTGAGGGATTTAGGGACTCACGGGTTCGAGTATTCGAGGACCGAGGTGGAGGGGTGTAGAGTAAGTATAAGGGATGTCGTGTGTGCTATTTGGGTATTTTCTTTGTCCGCCAAAGCATGCTGGAACGCGCAGAGATGAGTTGCGGTCGCGACGTGTGAAGTGAGGCGTGTGGTGTTTTGTAGGGAAGGAGGCTAGGGGTGGTGGTGGCTGGTTTCCATGAGTGATCTCTATTGCTTAGTCAACCACGCGATAAGGTGCGTCCAAGTCCTCGCGTTGGCTAATCATCCAAAGGCTTCAACGCGTCTTCTCTCGGTGCGAGAAAGTCACCTCCCCGCCTCTCCTCCACACCCATACCACCACCCATATATCAACATCATGTCCGGTTTCGGTATCGTCTGCGAGCCCCCCCAAATGGCTTCACCAACTACTCCCCGCCGCCCCCCGACCAGTCATTGCTACACTCCGTCCCGTTCGTCGCCTTTATCCACTCACACCCAGACCGCCCCACAAAACCGTTTTGGCCTCAAGATGCTTCCCTCGCCGCCATCATCCCCACCTGAGTTTCTCGCTCCCAAACGTCTTTTCAAACCAATTCCCACATCTCGCTCTCGTGAGGAAGGCCGGGAAGCCCGGCGGAATTTGTTCTTGAAGAAAGTTCGAGATGCCCGGGACAAAAAGCTGATAAAAGCGAGAGGCGGAGAGGATGAGGTATTGACATCAATTTCCTTTCGGTGGACTAGGCTCTATTAACCTGGTTTTTCATTTTTTTTCATTTCTTAGATGATGCGGTTAATCTTTGTCTCCGAACAAAAGCGGTGGGAAGCATCGCAAGCAAGAACCGCGGCTTCGATCCCTACCATTTATGAAGAAGAGGAACTTGGTATCGGGAACGAGGAGGAGCCAGACTTCCAAACCGAGGAATCGCTTTTTATGGACCAAGACGGTATATATAATAGTGACCCGGCTTGCTTCCTCCTGCTAATTCTTAGTGTACAGAAACTGGTCCTTCAGACGATCTAGATGAAATGCTCGACCGTGACGGCAAGGAGCTTGAAGACCTTCTCTCCCAACTTGATTTACAACTAGATCAAGTCATGCCAGAGGCGAACCGTGAAGTTATGTCGGCCTAGTTTTCTTGTCCATCCTCTCCGATACGGAATTCTTTGCTGAACCCCCCCGGCTTATGCGTTTCTTTTAACTTCACCCCGGCATTATCTGGCGCAAGGAGTCCCGGAAAACTCTCATTTCTATTTCTGATCCCACCTCTTGTAGATTAAGTCCGCGGTTCCCTCTTTGTGTAAATATGGTGGGGCCTTCTTCCATTGGTCGTTTGTGCATCTCTTATCTTATTTGTAACCCCACTGCTACCACAAATATGCTTTCATTGAACACGTTTTAATATACAACTTATTGCAAGAATTTCCACATATCCGTCAATTACTGCACCGCACAATTCGAATCGACGTCAGGAGGTATATCCAGGCCTTGTCCCATTTCTCCCATTAACTCTGTTGGTGGCGCACCGGCAGCTTGCATCTATCGCGGCTCCCGAATCAGCATAAAAGAATAGCGAGGAGCAGAGCAAAGGCAGCTCAATCACCTTCTGCATACGGTCAATAATAAACTCTCGGTCGCTATCAGATTCGTCTCTGTACTCCGGTTCCTCAAACTTTGCCACAATCTCCTTGACCACCCCATACTGCTCCCGATACCGCTGCAGGTCCTCCGCGGTTTGCTTGGACTCGTTGTTCCTCAGCCATTCCGGATATTTCTCGTTCAATTCCTTCATGGGTTCGTAGAGGATTTCCTTACTCGTAAGCTGCTCCATCATGTTTAAAAGCATTTTAGAAAAGTCCTCGTCGCTTTCTCCTTCACCGGCCGCCCCTTGCATTTGTTTCAACATTTCCGATAGAAAGTCATCAGTCTCGGAGTCAGCCACCGCAGCGTCAACCTCTGCTCCGGAAGACTTCATGCGATCCATCGTCTGCTTTATTCGGTCTTGGAAATTGACCGCCGCTTGGACGGACGGTCTAGAACTGGACGACGCCGAAGGCTTGGGACCAGTTGCCGCGGTGGCATCGTTCAGTTCCTTCACCAGGTGCTCAAATTGGTCTTGTAGTTCTTTCTGTGGCTGATTATCAGTCTGCCAACCTCCCGTCATCCATGCCCGTAGAGTTTACCATACCGAGTCCTGCATCTCGCCTAGTAAATCCTGCATTCCCAACTGCAACTGACGAGCAAAGTCGTCATCGGGCGACCCTAAAGAAGGTCCGCCATTATCGTTTGATGCGCTTGTGTCGCCAGCTTTCGCCGAGTGTTCACTGGCCGGCTGGGGTGAGCTCTGGAATTCGTCTAGTATCTCTATAGGTACTTATCAGCTACAGTTACCCCCGAACAAGTTTCACTGAGCAATGCACCCACCATCAAGGTCATCCAAATCGTCGTCATCGGAGTCCTCTGCAACAGTAACTTCTGGCGGGGGCGGCATAGTAGGGGTTGTAGTTCCTGAGCTCCCGTTGCGATTTTCAGGAAATATCGAAGCCAAGTTTCTGCCGGGGTTTTTTTTGTTCGTTTCTTGATTGGGCAGATATAATGGTTGGGGGCAGGCTTGATGGTTTGGGCAGATTTGACGGTTGCCGGCGGCAGAGGGTGAGGTATCATAATATTATGAAACGAGTACGATAGTCTACCGGTACGGTGCCGTATCATACCGGTGGTGCACTCGCTGGGTATCGGTGCATATAATACCCGAGTAACTTACCATACAGCAGGGTAGATTAACTCAGTAAATTCATCCATTGGCTGCCATAGGGCCGAGGTCGCAAATCACATGGCTAGTCTCAATGCTGAAAAATACAGGTCCCTTTCAGTCCTCGGTCACAGAACATCCGGTCCCCGTGAAGTGATACGGTATAAACTACCGTATCAAAGTGTGCCCGTTCGACACCGGTATTTCGTTGGCGAGGAGTCCGAAGACATATTGCTGGAATAAATTACCAGATCCCCATCCAGAACTGCTAGCTATAAGCCGCACCGACTCACGAAATGGGTTCGTACAGTATTTGTACCCGTACCGTATCATACATCGTACAATTGGTGCCGCATCACAGCCGGGTCAGGCCATCGAGGTGCCGGACGGTCCGCCGGGCGCACCGTGATAGGCTCGTATCCCGGTACTAGTACTCGTACAGTACCGGTACTCGAGTAGAAGAGTTCAGCTCCCTGGCACCAGCAGCTACTGGACTCGATTGGGCCCACCACAAAAGGGTATCATATCACACCAAATACGAGAACTTCTCGGGGCATTTGGCAACGATAGTCTAGCACTGCCAGTAGTTTAGCAGCGAACGGTTTGTCAATCGAACTCTCAACTTGTTGTGTACCGGTACTGTACAGTGCTCGTACTGTACGGTGCGGCACGAGCCTTTCGTCGTTTGCAGATCAATTGCTGACAGGATATCCGTGTATTAGACTCAGCTCCACCCCTTCCCATACAGCATTTTATTCTCTATCGTAGTACCGTACGGTATATCCTTTGCTTTACTTGTATAGTATTGTTATTGTTTTTAGCTCGACACACGACGTTTCGGGGATTCAAGCGGCGCTGAGTCAACCAACAACAGGGCTGGCATAGTCTACCATTGGGGTTTGACAAGCAACAGCTCTCTTCACCCGACACAAACATTTGTGCCTCCACCCCACTCCACTCCGCCGCCACTCTCCGCGTCTTCCCCTTCTCTCCACATCCCATCCCTCTTACAGAGAGACCCTCTACAACTGCTCCATCTGTTTTATTTGGCTCTTCACACTTGCCTTTGCAATCCTAAACTAATCAGATACCCATCAATACTCCGAATGTCGCTTTGCGTTAACCGGCTGCAAGAAGAGCGGTATCCGCCTATCCCCGTGGCGCTCGGTACTCTGAAATGCAAACTGGGACTGACTTTGTGCCCTATAGCAAGCAATGGCGCAAAGATCACCCCTTCGGCTTCTATGCGAAGCCCGCAAAAACTCCTCAGGGCGGCCTTGATCTGATGAAATGGAGCTGTGGAATCCCTGGGAAGGAAAAAACCATGTGGGAAGGAGGCTTGTTCAAGTTGGATATGATATTTCCCGAGGGTAAGCCATTACCCACTGGCGTCACCATATGAAGTAATCAACGCTAACATATGGGGCCTGATTGTAGAGTACCCGACGAAGCCCCCGAAATGTACTTTCATCGCAACCCGTTCCCTGGTATTTATCACAACTGTTGGAATCCACTAATCAATTCCACCTTGCAATAGGCAAATTCGTACCACCTCTCTTCCACCCCAACGTCTACCCGTCTGGTACCGTTTGCCTTAGCATCCTGAACGAGGACGAAGACTGGAAGCCCGCCATCACTATTAAACAAATTCTCCTCGGGATTCAAGATCTTCTCGATGACCCAAACCCCGAGTCACCTGCACAGGCGGATGCCTATAATTTGTTCAGGAAGGACCGTCCTGCATATGAGAAAAAGATCAAGTATATCGTTCGAGTAAGCATGCTGCCTACATTTCTCTTTTAAGCCCTTCTCTAAAGGCTCACGTATTCAACAGGAAAATCCGGCTCCCTGAGCTTGGTGACCCATTCCTGTGTCAAGGGTATCGAAGATACCGCTGGGAACGTCCATGGGGGTGGCCGGTGGGTCATACCAATATTTTTTTCGAATAGTTCATCTTTGAGCCAGGCACTCTAGTCAATTTAGCAAAAACAATGGATCGCCTTCACCTAACCTATTAGGGCTTTCTCTATTATGATCAAATTTCTGGTTTCTAAGCTCCGGTGCGTCCTTACCCGTACCGGTATTTATCTCCCTACTTGTTCATGTATCATACGACTACCTCCTGCTCGTATTATATATATAATCCCTTTTTTTCACCTGCTCTTGTTCTCTGCGGTTGGAGTGAAATGGGGCGGAGTACCATCTCGTAATGTGTTTAGAGTCACTGGGCTTAGCTTTATGTTGTGCATTAAATCACCTGCTTTTTAAACGTCCTTCACTGCTGTGCGCGCGGGGGGGGGGTGTGGTCAGTAGTCACCAGTCCGCTCTCTGCGAATAGAAGGAAACAGTGGTCCTGGGCCCTTCATAGGGTAAAGGTAGTGGTTAGACCCTCCCTCTAAATTTTCTTAATCCACTCGTGCGCCTGGCGGGGTTAGCGAAGCGTTCACCCTCCGGACCTTTCCAAGGTCTGCGGGATACTTGTACCGGTATCATCCCTTACCGGTAGAGTATGATATCTTCAAATGGCCCAATGCTAAACCCCTATCTGCCTCCGCCTAGTCAAATTGCGCCATCACGACCTCGCACTCGCCCTAGGCCCTAGGGCCTGGAGCCTTGTATCCACTTCCTCAAACTTCCGATAACCTCTGCACCTCATTTTGAACCCTCACCCCCCATTTTCAGTCTATCCCATTTCTAATTACTCTTATGGTGCAAAGCGTTCTTAAGGTGTACCAAGGCTGTTGCATTGTGAGATGCTTTTAACTAGTACGGGTCTAGGGTTATAGGCCAGAATAATAGTATTTAACATCTTTTTCTCAAATGCTTTAACTGTCTCAGTTACTGTAATGCTGTTAAGTAGGATAAATACTATTATTCTGGCCTATAACCCTAGACCCGTACTAGTTAAAAGCATCTCACAATGCAACAGCCTTGGTACACCTTAAGAACGCTTTGCACCATACAGTCAAGTAAAGCCCCACCAAGAGCCCCCTCCCCCGTCACGGTGCCTGGCATAGTGTGATTGAACCGACCGCAACCACCCGCCAGCTTATCCGTCACTCCTGTATCTCCTATTCGGACTGGTCTACCGGTAGCCGCCCGTTCCTCCGCCTACTGGTATTCCATCTGCATAATATCCTGGCGAAAAGATTCTTCGCTCTACCGGTACTTGTACGCGCAACTGTGGCTGGGGCAGTGTTTCGCGCATGTGTGCCCTCGCGCGCGGGGTCTTGACGTACCCATCCCCAAGCCCGACCCACCAACATAACAGGATCCTACCCAAGGGGAGCAAAAAGAAAAAGTATCAACAGAAAAAGAACTGACAAATGCCACACATAAGCATTCAACTATCCGATGACGTATGTAAGTTCTTTCCCTCGTGCATAAGACATCATTTGCTAACCCCGCCTACCCAAGCGAGTAATAAAGAGTGCCACAGCAACGACCACAACGGCGAACATCGCCCATTCAACGACTAAGGTGGGGGAGATCCTCCCCTTTTTTTCATCATGAGGGCGGAGAGGTGTAGGTGAAGATATTATAGCTAAGAAGTATGGATGGTGTGGGAAAGACGTTAGAGACACTACTGCTAGCGTCGAATAGGTTGCGGCAGCGGGTTGAGATCACGAGTGGGAGGATGGAGGCTATCCCCCGTACCAGGGCAATTGATCATGCACTTGTTAATCAGAATCCTTCATCTTCCAACCGGAGTTAATTTGGTTGGTGGTGTAGTGAGCGGGCGGGCGCCAGGGGTGTTTCATTGGAAATACTGTGTTATGGCCTTAAATTGCCATACTAGTACGTGCGAGGGAAATTGAGTATGGGGTGGTCGAATTTTTTTTTTGCGAGTTCTCATCGGGATACCGGTACATCGGAATATGCTCTGTCTTCTTTTCTTTTCTCTTCCTTTTTTTGTAAAAAAAAACAAGAAAAACAGACAAGAAAGTGCCAGATAAGTACAGTACTTTAAACACAGGCTGAGGAATTTCATTATAGTGATGGGGAGACATGAGATGTGTACTGGAGAGGCTAATCGATTCAAGACATCGTTTTTAGAAATCACATTGGTGCACTGACAAAAGAAAGATCCTGCCCCGGGGCTAAGCTTGCAACCCTTATTCGGATCCCAACCATTAAGATCCGTTCACACCCCCGGTGGCCTCACGGCATTGTAGGATGGGGGAGGTGGGGGTGGGGGTGGGGGATTACCCACAGGGGGAGGAGGTGGCGGAGGACTACTAGCGGGCATGGACGAGTATGGCAATGCGCCAGGGGCCTGGGACTGTTGTTGTTGGCCGTAATACGCTTGGTCTAATCAATGTGTCAGCAGTCGTCCGGAAAAAAAAAGCCACCGGACGAGCGCTTACAGTATTGCATGTATGCCTGGTATCCGCCATAGGGAGCATAAGGGTCTGCTCCTCCATAATATGCGGCATATGGATTGAGTTGGGATGCACCGGGAGCGCCAGGCGCCACGGATGACGCTACTGCTGCCTGTTGGGGCGGAGGCCCAGAGGGTGGAGGAGGAGGTGGAGAGGCAGATTGTCCATGGCTATGGTTTAGGCTATGGGGGTTGTGACCTTGGTTCTGTCCTTGAGGTTGGCCTTGTCCTGACATGGACGGAGTATAGAGATTGGCATTGCTACCTCCCCCATAACTGGGGAAACGAATAGGTTGGGGTTGCTTCTTATGATCTTCGTACTGCGATTTGACTGAGGTTAGAAGATCATCACAGAGCTCCTTTGCCCTCTGGACTTCGCGTGGATCAGGCCCACTGCGCAGCGTTAGTTAGTGTAGCGTCGCCTAGCTTGGATGGGAGTTCGTACGTCACGTGGAGATAGAGCGGCTCGTCGCTCTCATGACCAAGGCCGTGTTCCATAAAGCCAGACCCGCGGCCTTTGATCTGTACCCTACAACGTGTCTCCTGCTGAATATGTTTAACATACTGGCCACCATGTCCGACAACTGCTGCTCGAAGATTAAAGCCTGGAATAGGCTCAAGATCGACAGGAATCTTTTCTTCAGGCCATTTGCGCTGGTAGGGATGTCAGTTGGGTTCTCCAAACGGGCACTACAAAGCTCACCCTCCCATACTCGTCCCGCTCAACAGGCTCTGGTGGCTCTCTCCTCTTGAATCGGCGTTCATCTACAAGATTGGGAAGATCCTGCTTCATGAGCTCCTCAATCTTCAACACAGCTTTCTCCAACCCCTCCTTGGTTGTGCTAGTGATATGTAGGTAAAGTGGTGGATTCTATTGCTTGTCTCAGACAAGGATCGCTGCAAGTAATGGGGGCATATGTTCGTACCTGAGGAGTGGCCATAGACTTGTCGGGATAATAGGCGCCGCGGGTGGTAACATCTTTAAGCGCAGAATGCGTGAGTACTCTATACACTAAAGCAAAAACATGGGATCATATATGAGGGCAAGTGGGTCGTACCGGCGCCAGTTTCCTCTTTAATCTAAACAAGCACGGGTGACAGTCAGCGGCAAGACACCAAAGGGTTATGCAAAACTATTTGCACATCATATTTCAGCTTGAATGGCTCCTCCTTAGAACTTCAGCTGCGCATAAGTATAAAGGCTCGCCCGTGCACATGTAAAATACAAAGGGAAGAGAGTAGTCAATAAAGCTCATAGCCGGGGAAGGGATCGATGTTTACCATTTTCTGAGTAGCGCCTTTGGTCAGTGTGTATCGGTTGCGAAGGTCGTTAACTTCTATATCTTTGATGTAGTCACCGTCTGCAATATACATGTCACTATTGAATGCTGTTGTGCTTGGGGGGCTGGAAGATTTTCCCGCGCTCTATTCAAATTAGCAAATGCATACCCTAACCATGAATGGGGTTTCCTCACAGAACGGATAGGCGGCACGTCTACGTGCTGTATACCACGTTTCGCTTGAATCTGAGCGTTAATACGGGCGGCTGCAGCAGCTACTCGATGTTATATCGTAGAGTTAGGAAAGAGTCAGGTAATGTGGAGTAAGCAATGGGGTTTACCTGCTGCGGCTGCTGGGTCGGGCTTTGACTCTTTTGCTGGTTCAACGGGAGGGCTCTCGGTCGATCTGCTTATAGACGGAGGGCTTCTGCTTCTCCGGCGATCATCTCGACGGGAAGAGAACAGGTTATGGTGATTGGGAGAGCGAGAGCGACGGTCATCCCAACGGGAAGCGCCACGACTGTTAGCTGACTTCCCTCTTTCGGACTCCCGTTCTCTGTAATCCCTAACACGATCTTGGCTGCCATGGGTAGTGCTTCTTTGAGGCTCATCCCACTTGCTCCGCTTCCTACGGTCCGACGAGTCGTCAGTCATTGCGAATCGTGTTTGCTAGGGGAAGCTGGTCGGGGAGGGAAGGTAACGCGGAATCGGGTCGGTGCGAGTTGAGAGAGAAAGGGGATCGGGGTTGAGGAAGGGAGGACTGTTGATGGACGGAGCAGTGAGGGCCAAGAGTAGAGGAGGATGAGGAGGAGGAGCGAAGGACGATACGATCTGCATTGCACAAAAATTATGAAAGTTCCCACGTCAAGCCCTGTTAATGACTCAGCAACCCTCGTCTTTTTGGTTGCACGTGAAAAAAGGGTCTTGGCAGTGGGTCCGTGACGATAAGGGGAAGGATACGGTACTGGTATGATATCTCAGAAAATTAGGTAAGGATCCCTGTATCCGAGAAAATCCTATCATTACCCCTTGTGACTACCCCACCCTCTCCTCCGCAAAAACATCACCCTTCACAAATAGCCACCTTCTTCAATGGCAGCTATTCGTACTGCCTACTCGTCCCTACTGGGTAGGCCTGCGATCAGCGCTTTGTCTCGTGTCATTGGGAGAGTCCATAGCTCGTCCTCCTCATCCTCCTCCTCAACATCTGCCATTTATTACAAGGCTCTTCACCGCCGCGTGAACCCTTTGCCTACCACTGATCCTCCAGCATGGTCTGCTTCGGCTGCAGTTTCCTCAATCCTTTATGAGACTCCACTACCTTCGGCCAATCCTCCAAAGCGCCATATCTTAAATTGCCTCGTTCAAAACGAGCCGGGTGTTCTCTCACGGGTTTCGGGTATCCTGGCAGCTAGGGGGTTCAACATCGACTCGCTAGTAGTTTGCAATACTGAAGTTCCCGACCTTTCTCGTATGACAATTGTCCTAAGTGGACAGGACGGGGTGGTTGAACAGGCACGGAGACAATTGGAAGACTTGGTTCCTGTTTGGGCTGTTCTGGATTACACTGCGGCACCTCTCATTCAGCGTGAGCTTTTGCTCGCTAAAGTCTCTATCCTTGGCCCGGAGTATTTTGAGGAGTTGCTGGCTCACCACCGCGAGATTACTGCTGAAAATGCAGAGGCGCTTGGTGAGCATGGGGTTGCGCACAGGGACGGCGATTACCACCCCTCTAAGCTTCCAATTTCCCAAGCATTGAGGCATAAACACCAACATCTTCACGCTGTCACTCAATTAACTCATCAGTTCGGTGGAAAGGTGTCTGACATCTCTGAGAACAATTGCATCGTGGAGCTGTAAGAATATTTATGAAAAACCAATTTCTTTTGCCCTTTCTTTTCTTTTCTTTTTTTTCCGCTCTACTGACATGTAGTCGGGAATGACATGTAAGATCAGCAAAGCCATCTAGAATTGATGCGTTTATGAAGCTTATTGGGCCATTCGGTATTCTCGAGTCTGCAAGAACCGGTACCATCTCCCTTAGAGCTGGAATTACCCGGAGGGGTAGGGGATGATGTCACTAACTTTTGGGATAGGGTTAATGGCGCTGCCACGATCTCCCCTACAATCGAGAACCGAAGAAATCGAGGCCAAGGATGCAGGTGATGTGGTAGATGCTAGCACACTCCCTCCCGGCTAAGCAATATGTACCTTTGTCTCTTTGGGGGGGTCTAAATCTACGAACGAAATTCACCTGTGTATATTATATCAACTGCAGATGGACTCGATATAGATGGTACCTGGCTTTTAGTATCTCTTTCAGGAAGATTAAGGTTTGAGCGCAACAAAGAACCTTATGTTGGTATACAAAAGTTTGCCGCTTGGGATGTGCCCCGAGTGTAAACAAGCTGTGAGTTGTATTCATTTTGTGAGCCGTAAAGACAAAGACTATCAAAGGCCAACAAACCAGGCCCACATATAAAGAACGCGAAAGGGGGAGAAAGCAAATCATACATAGAAGGCAAAATTATCTCAAATGAATGTTTGCTCCTATAGGATTAGTCGAATTGTAGAGTACCTCCATCTGCAGCTTGCCGACGCGCACCAAACATGATGCCTCGGCGTGAACAGCCAATCTTCCACCCAACGCTTTCCTCATTGCTTCATACCCCACGCCCCCAAGCTTCCAACGCACAGGAATCCTGGGTGTGGTTGTCCTTCCCTCCGCGGCTGGCCTGATGGCAAATGGTTTTGAAGACTCAATTTTCCCTAATTCATTGCCCTTATATTTTGCGGTACCGTTGATTGCTTCTATCATAACCTTGTCTTTGCGGAGAGGATTGTTGAGGAGAAAATCGGCTGTCGATGATATCAAATGAATCTGGAGTTGGAAAGAATAATAATTTATAAGTACTTCTCCGGGATAGGCTAGTGCTGGTATCTGGGGGCCAGATATGCTTACTGTTGCGGACTCAATAAAGTTTGGAGCGGAATCGGATGGCCCACTCTTTCCGGGCATTGGGAGACGTGGGGTTGGAATGGTCACATTGAAGTTTGAGAGAAGCTTGGATAGTAGTGGCATGGAGGGTATGCTATTGGCGTGTGGGCAGATAGTAATTGTGGTGTTGTAGCCTATCATTTTTGTTAAGTTTGAGGGGATGCAAGAGAATAAATCTAAGGCACATACCAGATATGTACTCACCAGCGAGGCGTTTACCCGCGTCCTCAGCCTCGTGACCTCCATGAGCCCGAGGATCCCAGGTCGTACCGATATAGAGAAAGTTTGTTCCCGTTGTCAGATGCCCATTAACTAAAGTGGCATTCCCTAATACAAAGCCATCGTGCGTGATGTGAACATTCATGTGAGGAACGACAGCCTCCCAAGGAGTTGGATTTTCAAGACTTAGATCAATTCCAAGTGTGAAAGACTGGGTCGTTGTATCGGTAATGAGTAGCTCGCTAATTTTTGGTAATGGGATATGGGTGGCCCGGAGTCCATCAATCTTTATATTTCCCGAGGCTGGGATATCCCTGACAACGAAGTTCCCAAGGTCGGTTTCGATTCCTACATCAGTGGATCCATCAATGCTGAGAAATATCGGTTTTCCGTCGCCAGAGAGAAGTTTCTGAACGATTTTATCAAAGATATCGTAATCCTCGATGTCCAGCAGGGAATCGCGAACTTCGGCCCGAACATAAAGGTACGTTGACCCACCTGAAGCAGTGGAACTTGCTGGGATCCATTTTGGAAAATGCAGGGTTCCGAATTTTTGGCCTTCATAAAATACGTCTGCGGTAGCCTTTAAGCGACTGACGTCTAATGGAAAGTTCATACTTCGAGGTAGGCGAACTGTAGCAAGCACGTCCGCGCTCAGTCGTAGTGATGCCTCCGGTGTTCCTGCTGGGGCATCTGGAGAGGGAAGCTGAAATTTAACATGGGACAAGCTGAACGATTTCACAAGGCTATCGAAACTGTGCCCGGGAAAGGGGACTGGGAGGGTGATGCTTTGAAGAAATTCTTGCAGCCAGCTAGGAGCATTGGAGGTCGGAGGTTGCGATCCTTGGATGTATACGGTAGTATCTTTTCCGTGCAGATAGGTGCCTAAGAATATGTCGATCGGTGATATATCGGAACCTGGGCACGCAGTTACGAGTTCCTCTGGAATATTGCGGATAATTCCAAACACATCCACACCAATGTCGGTTTTAGATTCGACAGAGAGGGGAGAAGTTTCAGCAGTGGCTATATTGACTAGATCATCTGCCTTACACCCGGACAAGAAGATGGCAAAAAATAGAGGTGGTACATCGAATTCCACTGGATAAGGGTTCTGCACAACGGCAGAGAAATTGACACTGAGCGCTTTCTGTTCTGGAAGAGTTATTTCTCCAATATCCATCCGATTAACCTGGAACTCAGGTAGAGAAGGCAGTTCTGGTTGACGATGTCAGTCTATTGACCGGGGTATTTTATTGCTTGTATATGGAACCTTCAAAGGCCATCTCTGCGGATATTTTCTGAGTCCCCAAGTGAAGCAGGCCCGACTTCAACATTAAATCAGCTACACCAAGCACCCTGATCTTCCTTAATCCCCCAACAAGATAATCGTTGGCTAGGTCCCGAATAGCATCTGGAGAGCCTAGTTTGACGTCGGACACGAAGTCCAGCTTCGTGATTTGGCCATTCTTAACAGCGATTATCATTGGCGGGGCACTTGCTGTACCAAGGAGACCGCCATCATAGTCAGGTAAATAAACTTCAACTTGGGTCGCATCTGTCGATATCCTGCTGACAATCCAAGTTCCTGTAAGCCCTAAGCTCCGTACAGCTCGATTTTGGACACGGCTAGCGTCAATCTGAATTGTAGCCTGTATGCGAATCTTCGCCCCTTTATCGGTAAAGGAGTCGATGGAGAGACGAGCGATATCGAGGACAACAGCTTCTTTGGCATACCGAGTAGCAGCCGCGGGAGCAAAAAAAACCACCAACAGGATGCCAATAGATATAGCACTTATACAAAGAAGTACCAGAGCTATCAAGCCAAGTCTTATTGGTCTTGGCGTGCCGGCGTCCCGGGCGGCACCCACATGGTCCACAGGTGGTGATGAGTCCTCGGTAAGGTTAACAGCAGGGGGAGCCTCTTGAGGATTGGCCCAGAGAAGTGGTGTCGTCTCTGTGGAAGAATCTGGAGCAGGAGTTGACTGCTTTCGAAGAGACATCGAGCAAAAGGTTCGCGCCCGGGGGGGTGCGGAGTGAGAGGGGGTATGGTACGAATGAAATACCGGTATAGGGGAGATTGATCTAGCAGATTGAATGATGGGAGAGGCTCGCAATGGGGCTGGGGAGGTTGCTGGCTACGGGGAATACCGTACCGTACAAGAGGGAGGAGGAGGGGTGGTACAAAGGGAAAAGGGCGAAGAGAGGAAAGAAGGAAGTGGGCAAATGTGATGGAGGATTTAAGTACCCGAGTACTGGTGTCATACTATAGCAAAATGGAGTGTGACGACAGTGGCTGTGCGAATATTTTTTCCTGTCAAACCGACTACAACAGAAGGAAACACGTAAGGCACCGCTTCAGCCTCCGGGAGAAATAAATCCGAAAATGTGTAGATAAATTGTCCGTGCAAGGTCTGTGCAGAACAAGGGGCGTTAGAATATTAGTTGGCAAGAAGGAAGTTCAGAGTGCCTACTAGTAATAAAGGTTAAATATGGTTTGTGGAGAGCAAAACCAGAAGCAGAGGGTTAGGGTGCGTCTGGTTACCATGTAGCTTTTAAAATCCCTTCCTTCGTTCCTGTTTCTCAAGCCCAAGCATACCATGTTTAGTGTGCATTTAGCATGAAGCTAGAGAGTTGGTGGATACCAGAAAGAGCAACAACTGACATCTTGCACAGAGAGCTTGTACGAGCTTGGCGACAAAATTCGTGGACCCCCGAACTGGAGTCATGGCAACCATTACCATATTATAACACCAAAACACAATACTTTGATTCCATAACTTAAAATATAATACTATACATAGTAGAGTTAATTACCATTGTGTCTGCATCCCCTTCTGCTCCCTGCATTGCTTCAATCTCTTAGACATACTGTCTATCAAGGGGTTCCAATGAAAGGGCTTTAGCGGATCCTACTCTTCCTGAACTGCCTTGCTCATCTGAGTGTAGGTTCTGGAAAAGCAGCTATGAACTTTGATACGCTACTTCATAATCCGCCAAACATTTTCGATCAGATTAAGATCCGGAGAACAAGCCAGTTGATTGTGAAGTGAAATATCCAATTCCTTTTTTGCCTCTACTAGGCCCTGTTTGGTCTCATGCCATGGGGCCTGATCCTCAACAAACTTGGCCTCTGGAAATACTGTAAAGCCAGTCAGAGAGCCACTAAATGCAGGAGCGACAATGGGCTATAAGGTTTGTTTAAGGTAGTTCTTTATCGTGATACCCTGCTTTCCCATGCCTCAGAGAAAGACTAATTCTGATTTCCAATTATGGCTTATTGCACCCCACATAGGGATGGAGGCTCAGCCACTATTGAAGGTGAATTGAATACAGGCTTTATGGTAGTACTTAATTGAGAGTCTGGTAATCCAACTTGAGTCTTGCTGAGAGGTATTGAAGATAGACTTATCAGAATAGATATGGTGCCGCCACCAAATCTTTGGTTTATCAGAATGATAGATTAAAGACAAAAGCCCTACTTTCTGGGTACTACAATTGATAAAAGAATTCTTGCAAGCCTTGCAGCAAGTGTAATCTCCAACCTCTAATGGGTACTGAATTGTCCTTCCTGAAGCAGCAAATTCCCCCTCTTGCCCTAATTTGGACCAGCAAAGTCGTTGACCCTCCCAGTTGTGTCGCAGGATATATATTAAATAATGGATATTATGTAGTATGAGGAGGGAGGGTTGGCCAGAGTGATTATGAGGTCATTGGTGATATGGCTCTTTTTCCCACCTTATAATTGTTGACCATGGTATACCAGTTCTTCGCTTAATTTCATACTTTGTAGCCCCAGAATCTTAGAGAGCAAGTACTCAACTACAGACCAGCCTAGTTCACTCTCCTATAAGACACATTTTGGTAGGTGTTGTAGGAGGTTCGGTCATAGTAGGCATGAGGTATGATGCTTGGCAACGTAACAGACAAGGTCCAAGCAGGTAGTTCCAGGCACACTATGGTCAGGCTCCGGAGATATAAACAAGTTTGGCATCCTACTGAGGATCTACGCATTAGAACAGGTATCCTATTAGGCGGCAGCCAATTCTAAGTCAGGCGAATTGTAACTGGGGCCAATAAGGTTTCTCGGAGAGTAGTCAAGAAAGGTTGTAACAAAAGTCTGTATCAAAGTATAACGAATATATTGATAAGATCTCTTCTCCATTCGCTGATGATTCTGAAAGCTAATGTATTTTTTTTTTTTGTTTGACTCATTGATTATTTGTTTAGGGTACAAAAAATGTATGGAGTGCTAGCTATGACGACAAAAAACCCATATCCCTCCTCTCGCCACAGGAAAAAGCCAACCTCCTAAGCCCCTCTGCTATGGAGCCAACCGCACATCTCGCCTAAAAGAAAAGAAACCCAAGCCCACCTAGATGGACGAACAAGGAAATCCTAACTAAGAAGAAAGCAGGAAGGGCCAGGAAAACCCGCTGAGAAATCCTAAAAGACAAAAGAAAGGTTAGTAGCAAGCCACATAGGCCCTGAAGGGTGAGTCCACTCATTCAAGCGGGAAGCGACGCCCGAAGCGTGCTAAGATAGGGGGCTCCCCCCAGACCCGCTTGAAGGAGGCAGTGCAATACCATGGAGGGAAGGAGGAGACCAGCCAGCCATGGGTGATAACCAGGGGGGAGGAGAAGGTGTAGCAGTAGGATGCCAGCCGATCAGACCATAGAGAGAGGAGACTGAAGGGGTAGACCCAAAGACCTTAAACATCATCTATGGGTATCGTGTTCGGGTCTGACTAGGCAGCCTCTTAGGGGAACAAGAGAATAGCAAGATCGACTATAGCCTGTTGGCTGTTCTCCCCTACTGCAACTGTAGTCCCGGCCATATGACAATGGTAGTTAAGAGGTTGCTGACTATGAGAAGGCTAAGCGAGGCCAACCCAGGAGGAGAAGAGGACTCCCCACCAGGCATGGAGGGAGGAGAAGGAGGGAGTAAGGAAGATCATCAACAGCCACCTAGGCAAAGCAAAGCAGGTGTTTTACCGCGTCTCTCATGTAGTCCCTTGTTCTGGGAGAGATAGCGTTACTGTAGTGGAAGGGATCCCACCACCTGCGGGGCAGCCAAGGAGGGCCTCTGAACGACTAACCCCCAAGAAGAGAAAGGGCCCTGCGACAGTAGATCAACGTCAATACCCTGGGTGTGAGAGGAGGGAAGAGCCAGACTCCCCTAGGCCGAAGCCAAAGGTAGGAGTAGGTGGGAAAGTGGTGATGGTTTCGCGATGAAACTTATAGTATTGAGTTTTCAATCACCGGAGGTGTAGCGGAGACAGAGAATGTTCTGAAAGCTAAAGAATGTCTTTTTTTTTTTTTTGTTTAACTCCTATATTCTTTGTTAAGGTACAAGAACCTGCATGGAGCGCTAGCTATGGCAACAACAAAACCTTAATATCAAAAACAACAAACAATAACGAAATATTTCTCCACCAACAATCCGTGCCTGTGAGTAATACAACTAACTGCGCCCACCAGGATGACTGATCACAAAAGAAAAGACAAGCCTCCTCCCGCACGGAGGAAGTACAAAGCACAGAAAGTCAAATAAAACCCGGAAAGAGAACAAAAAGAACTGCTACTTCAATCTGAAACTAGGTTGGTACTGGGCGACGCTCGTCCCCCGCCCATAGTGGGGGGAAAATTGGTTCTGGTATCGGAAATGTCTCGCGTCAGGCCCCATAAGAGGACCTTGTCAGCTCACAGGGGAGCCTCACAGGCCAAAGAATCCGCTCCTGGGATATGGAGCAGTCTCGAGGAGGCCTTAGAGGGACAGGAGAGGACAGCATGGTGCATAGTCTCTGGCACAAGGCCGCAGGCAGAGCAAGTAGTGGGTTTGTCTGGCTTGTTCCAAGGGGTATGTGCCGCTAGATAGCTCTTTCCAGCCCTCATTTGATGTATTCTTCCAGCCAGGAAGTGGTCCAGCCCTATGAAGGAGTGCGGGGCCTCCGGCGGAGCATATGGATAGTATAGAGAAGGGGGGGCCTGCAGTGCCCAATCCTGAGAAAGGAGGGACCGAGTGGTAGCTTTCAGGAGGGAGTACTTCTGTGAAGAGGAGAGATTACTGACTGTCCCGGGGACCAGGTGCCTGTTAAGGCCCGGAAGAGTCCCCCTGACGGCGATCCAAGCCAGGGAATGAGCTATGCCATCAATAGAGAGGTGGGATTGTATGGCGGGAGAGGGGCAGGGGCTCTTCCAGAGGAGGGGGTCGGCGTTACCTTTCAGCCTGATGGACAGGACCCAGTTGGAGTCCGGGGCCCGTGTTGGTGATGCGGAGGGAAAGGAGAGGGGGAGCCTGGCCCAGGCCGGGTTCATCTCGGGCAGTGAGCAGGCCATCCACAAGGCCGCCTTTCGGCGCTTATGGGGGAAGAGGGACTATCAGAGGGGGGATACTGGCCTTACAAGGGAGGATCGAGGTAGGGCTAGAGTGGAAAGAGTTGGTCACCCATCAGAGGACTCGGTTCCAGAAGACCTCCATCTTGTGGAGTGCAGAAGTGTTGGGTACCAGGGGATCAGTCCCATAGGAGAGGATGGGAAGGATGAGTCCAACAGCGAGCCTCCTATTAAGATAAGGAGGCAAGCCTTTGCCGGGGGAAGAGAGTTGTCTTATGATAGCAAAAGCCCCCTGGGCAAGTGCCAACTGTTTTGCGAAGTAAGGAGAGGTTTCCAGGCTAGGAGTAAACCAGTCGCCGAGCCAGCAAACCAGCCCGGTCGGGTGGAAGAAGGTCCCATCCAGGGTGACTGGGGTGTAGCAATGAGCCCCGTGGTCGCTTGAGGTCTTCCGGTGGGACAGTTCGGTCGTGGGCACGGAAAAGGACATGCCTATCGCACCCGCCCTTCTCTTCAATGCCAAAAAATAGTGCTGCAAGCGCTGCACATTGCGCTTGTAAGAGGAAGAAGCCACCATAACAATAAAATCGTCAACATAGGAAAACATAATCCCTTTGGGAATATCCAAATAAAGAGGAGACACATAGATGACAAACAAAAGAGGAGAAATAGGAGACCCTTGAGGTGCGCCCACCTGAACTGGAGAGAACACATGAGGAGACCCCTGAAAGAAAAGACGACAATGTCTGTTAGAAAGGAAAGACTGGACCCAGGCGCAGATGTATGGTGGCACCCAGTTGGACTTCATGAAGGTAGTAAGTAGTGTTGAATTGATGTTGTCAAAACCCCCTTTAATATCAAGCAAGA